AGAATGATGATAATTGATAGTCAATAGTCAATAGATATAATGATTGTATATTTCGGGTAAAACCAAAGAACATATTTTTCAACATATTATATTTATCCAATTCATGTGTAAAAAATATACATATTGATTCAGGTAGGTATTGACTTCCCGGGGGAGGAGGGACGTCCAAATAACACTGTACTTTACTGCTGAGGGCCATGCCTATAACTAGTTTTGATTTTTTTGTTTATCCGTATTTTACTAGCCCATCTTAAGAATGATAGTGAAATCAAGATTTGAAATATCATAGAGTTATCTTATATTTTGAATATATAGTAGCTTTAGTTGGAAATACATCATAAATCTACTATTTAGAACTGTCTTTACTTCTTTAATCAGCCCTAATTTTCTTCCTTAGAGCTTGAAAGTTGAAACCATTTTTAACTTATCTAACCTACAAGTAGATGGGTAACTCTACAAGTGAATCTGACCCATCATTCGGACTTCGAGCAGACCTAACCATTTAAATAACAAATTTTTTTTATTTATTAATTTAATTGTGTCCTTACACAAGGTATTTTTAAAATGTTAGGTACAGTATACGATTTAAGATTAATATGATTACAAAACTATGTGTGTGGTTTGGTGAGGCGTGGTACCTAGTACGCTCAATCTGCGGCAACGCTTTGGGTGTACGTACCGTCGTTGCTAGCACTCGGATGGGTGATCATCCGGGTTTTTAGCAATACATCGTTGCCACACATACAAACGTGTTCCAACCAACCGTGTACCCTCCCCCCCACATAGTACCAGGCTAATGATAAAAAAAAATACTACGTGTACAAAAATTTACAAAATTACAATGAATATTTATGGCTAGCTTCTAAGTCTAAGTTAGAATCTGAGAAGGAAGTGTCATCTTTGGGTTCTAGTATGATACTCTGCACATGTGGTAGCCGAGATTTAAGTCTTAGATTGGGAGGATATTCTGCCGATTTTTTAGTGGAGTGCTCCGGCAACTTTGGGAAGTTTATCGTGGACATTTTTTAATTATTGTGTTATCCAGGTAGATATTATGTGTAGTAGACCCGTGTCATTCTGTAAGTGTTTGTTTCTACCACGGGGCTACTTGGGCTATTCTTAAGAATTTATTTTGAAGGGTTTATAATCTTGTAATTTTTGTTTTGGAGGCAGCTGCCCATATAGGGCAAGCGTAGGTTACTAATGGTCGTATTATTGCTGTGTGTAGGAGTAGAGAGCATTTCATTTGTATGGTTGAGCTATGGCTTAATAAGGGGTGCAGTATTCGTAGTCTGGTACTCTGGTGTACTCTTGGTTTAAATGGTTTAATTTTTGTTTATGTGTATTTTCCGGCTTAATTTTTTCATCGAGGCGCAGTCCCAGGAATTTTACTGAGTCGTCTTTGTTGTTCCATTCGATTTCCCGGTTGTTAATTCGTAGTAGTCGGATTTTAAATAACATATATGTATTGGCTTCCTCGAGTACCGACTCCCGTCGCAATAAAATGCTATTATAGCAAACCCCTGATTCTTCTATGAACTAAAAAACAAACACTACACATTGTTAAAAATATTATAATGTTTAACAATATTATTTTATTAATATTGGTCTTGTCAGCCTATAATAATACTGAGTAATTTAGTATGTTCGACGATATTATTGTGATTAAAGTAATTTATTTTACTGTTGAGTATCAGTAATATAGTTGGTTAAATTCATTTTTGCTAAAAAAATTATATTTGAAAAGTCATTGAGTGTATAAAATAATTAAAATATAATAATATTCTCTTAAAGTTTCAAGTATCCACGAATAATATTTTTAAATTACAACAAAATAACTTATATCATAATTCTTGGTTATAAATATATAATATGTAATTTTGTCTAAATTTGAACATAAAATAACTATGAAAAAAAACTATGTGCTTATATATTTTTTAAATATTTTTAGTTACAGAATTAACTACTATTGGGCTTCTTTGTCTTACATTTTTGGTCCTTAGTTATGAAAGTTGAACATTTATTTAATAAATATTTAACTTTAAAATAATTCGTACATTTTCAGTTTGATAAATGTTGTCAACATTTGAACTTAAAATGCTTACAAAACATCGTGCCTATGTATTTTTTAAATTTTTAACTCATAATGTATCTAACTATATATATCAGGAGCCTTGTATTACGTTTTCAAGGTTTTTGACCCGACAAATACAATTTTATTGAATATAATGAAAAAAAAATCCAAAATATTTTAAATTTAAAATGTCTGTAAACTGTTCAACGTTCAACACGAGTCAATATATTTTGAAAATTGAATCAAGTATATGAATTGATAAAATAAACAGGTTGATTTAAGCCATGGTTAACCTTACTGTTTTCTTTTTGCATGAACAACTTTACTGTGACTAGGTTACTATAAAAAAATACTTACTATTGTTCTGTGGTACCAAGAACGATTTAAGTTATATCTTAAATCGTGGTACCAAGCAGTACTAATCTACGTTAAGGTAATATCACAGAACAATTATGATAATATCAAAGACCGTGGTATACACATGGTATAAAGATAGTACCACTATCTTTGATAGTACTACTAATCACTAATCAGTAATCAGTAATCGCTATATACTGATTATTTTTGTTTAAATATCTATATTTGTTTAATTATTTTGTGGTTTCGGTACACAGAATTACAGAATATTGCTTCCCAGTAATAATATACAATAATTGCTGTGTAGTGGGTAGTTGAAGATAATCAGATTTGGTAATTGTCTTGTTTTATTACCGGTCGCCTTGTGTTTGTGCTCACTTTTCACTAATGGAACTGGTTTTTGTTTAGGTACCTAGTTCTTACTTCTTATTAGGTATGGCGGCATTTGAAGAGATGGGCGTTCTGCCCGAAATAGGTAAAGCCATCGAAGAAATGGACTGGCTGTTGCCTACGGATGTCCAAGCGGAAGCGATACCTCTAATACTTGGCGGTGGTGATGTGTTAATGGCCGCGGAGACTGGTAGCGGTAAAACAGGAGCGTTTTGTTTACCGGTTATTCAAATAGTGTGGGAAACTCTCAAACAATCCGGTAAACACCGGGATAGTTTACCGGTCAAGGTGTCAGGTTTCACAGATCCGTGGGCCATGAGTATGTGGGATCGTTCGTCTGCCGTGGCCGTGACGCCAGATGGTAAAAAATGTCAATCAAGGGAGCAAAAAGATTGGCATGGTTGTAGGGCTACTAAAGGCGTTAAAAATTCGGGAAAATATTATTTTGAAACAACTGTCACCGATGAAGGTCTGTGTCGAGTCGGCTGGTCTACACCGGGAGCCGTGTTAGATCTGGGTACAGATAAATTTGGTTTTGGTTTTGGTGGAACTGGCAAGAAGTCAAATAACAAACAGTTTGATTCTTACGGAGAAAGTTTTGGTTTACATGATACAATCGGCTGTTGGTTAGATCTAGACAATTGGACTATTGGATTCAGTAAAAATGGTACATATCTTGGCGATGCGTTTAAAATACCTGCAAATTTGAAAACATCTGCATTTTACCCAGCTGTTGTATTAAAAAATGCTGAAATAGCATTTAACTTTGGTGAATCATCATTGAAATATGATATTCCCAAAGACTTTTCTGCTATTAGTAAGGCACCTAGCAATCGCATTGAACTATCTCAGTGTAATGCTCCAAAAATAGATTCAAATACAAAAAAGCCAAGTAATGCTCCATATGCAATAATTATTGAACCTTCTAGAGAATTGGCTGAACAGACTTTTAATCAAATTAAAAAGTTTAAAAAATACCTTGCAGAACCACAAGTCAAAGATCTTCTAGTAGTTGGTGGTTTTAGTATTAAAGATCAAATTGCTGCCTTATCGGCAGGTGTTGATATTATTGTTGCTACACCTGGCCGTCTGGAGGATCTTATATCTGGTGGCCATTTGTCTTTATCTCAGTGTAGATTTTATATACTAGACGAAGCCGATGGATTATTAAAACAACGTTATACAAAGCTCATAGACAATCTTCACGAGAAGATGCCTAAAGTTTCAAATGACGGCAAGAGACTTCAAATGATTGTTTGCTCAGCTACACTTCATGATTTTGAAGTAAAAAAATTGGCATCACGTCTTATGCACTTTCCAACTTGGGTAGATCTTAAAGGTGAAGACGCTGTTCCTGAGACTGTACACCATGTTGTGGTTAATGTTGATTCTCAAAAGGATTCATCATGGACTTCATTGAAAAATCATATACCGACTGATGGTGTACATGATAGAGATAATGTAAGAGCACTAAATACATCTGAAGCATTATCTCACGGAGTGAAGCTTTTAAAGGGTGAATACTGCATCAAAGCTATAAACCAACACAAAATGGACAAAGCTCTCATATTTTGCCGCACTAAACTTGACTGTGATAATTTAGAAAAATACTTTAAACAACTTGGTTCTTTTTATACTTGTTGTACTCTTCATGGGTCGCGTAACGTGAATGATCGTAGAATGAATTTAGAAAAGTTTAAAAATGGCGAAATCAAGTTCTTAATTTGTACTGATGTAGCTGCTCGTGGAATTGATGTTAATGGGTTACCTTTCATGATTAATATGACTTTACCTGATGATAAGACTAATTATGTACACAGAATTGGTCGTGTGGGCAGAGCAGAACGTATGGGACTGGCTGTTTCATTTGTGGCAACTATCCCAGAAAAAGTGTGGTATCACGGTGAATGGTGTCCATCCAGAGGTCAGAGGTGTTCGAATACTAATTTAACTACCAGCAAAGGCTGTTGCATATGGTACAATGAACCCCAATATTTAGCTGAAATTGAAGATCATTTGAACATTACTATACCACAGGTTGATTCGAAAATGGATATTCCTATGAATGAATTTGATGGAAAAGTTACATACGGCCAAAAAAAAATAAATAAAGGACCCACATATAAAAATCATTACGACCAACTATTGTCTACCATCAATGAACTCACACAATTAGAAACTAAGGCTCAATATTTGTATTTGCACATGCTTAATAATTAACTGTAACAATTTGTACAAAGTACCTGTATTAAAAAAAAAAACATACATTTTCATATTGAACATTTCAGAATATAATTTTCTTCTCTAAATTCCTGACTGAGTTTGTTTTCTAATTTTATACACTTCTGTATAATTATATACTGTGTGTTAAAAATCATTGATTACAAGCTATCTTTCTTCATTCCGGTTCCAACGGGTCCATGGCGTCTCTCCCATAACATGCGATTCAGTTGTTTTGCATAGCATCTTTCAGCAGTGACAGCAACTCCCAAATCGCCATCTACAAAACCAATTAATTTCAAGTTCAAAACTCCTATTTTAGAGTATTAAAAATTATGTTTAACACTAACATTTGATTGAGTAATTTTCTTCAGCTTCCTGGTAAATATCAGACAATGGTTTGCATTTCCTCATGCCATCTGGTGCTTCATAAATCCGACAATCTTCATACCTCTGTCTTAAAATAGATAGAATATTGCTATCTACCAGCCTGAAAAATTTTAATTTATTTTTTTTTAATACTATAAAGAAATGTAATATTTTTTTTTAGTAAGCAAGACAAATTCCAATCATAATCTTTGTACCAGAAACCCGGTATCTTATTAATATGTTCCTATATTTGATTCAAAACAGAGAGATGAGTGTATTGGTATTGTGATGTATGTTTGTTTTTACATCACCTTTGGAAGTAGTAAAAATGTTTTGATTTTCAACTTTGCAAGATTTCTGGTAGGAAAATGGTATTTATTTGATACTTTGAGGTTTTTTACTACACACAATTTTATTTTAAAATTACAAAAATATTTTGATTAACTTTAAGTTGATAACAGATAATAATATATGCAATGTTTATGGCAAAAATTAGTTCAACCCACCATATTATTAATAGGTACCTAAATAAATATACAATAATATATTCTAAGAAATATAGGCTAATAAACTGTCCCCAATCAGAATAATTGTTTTATCATATGCAATGATTTATCATTGAAATCAAATTTAACATATTCATAACAATGATGAAATATACACAACACCTATAGTCGCTAGTGTTTGAAATTTGGGGGGAGGGGGGTAAAGATTTTTATATAGGGATGACACTTTTATCACAATAAATTCATGTTGGATACATATGTACTTCAATGAGTAAAGAACGGTTGTGAAATTAGAATTTGTTAGCCAGACAGTCGAATGATGTGCAAATTCCCGGTAATATGATTATTTTTTGAATATTGATCAATGTTGCAGTTAAATTAAACTTATAGTTGTAAATGATCCAAATGACAAATATTTTATATCCAAAAATATTGCAGCATACAGGAGAATAAACTTTACTTATCCAAGTTATACGTTTAAATTTCACTATTAAATATGAATAATATAAGTATTTACTATGGTGACTCCCTCCCCCTGCCAGTTCCAGTAACCAAAGTTTCAAGAAAAGAATAAAAAATTGTGAAAGAAGTGATAAACGTAGCATTGCGCTCACACGTAAAAAACGCAAATTTGCTAAATTTCTAAGGCCATAACTTAGGAACTAAGTCCGACCGACAAATTCTGATTGCACCATCGTTCTTAAAAAGTCAATATAAGTTTAACCTGGGAAAAAAATTGAAAAAATTGCATAGGGTGGTTAAGTCTATTATAGCAATGAATTGAACCGTGTATAAATAACCATAAGTATAAATTAATAGTTATAATCTATGAGTTGTAGATTAGGTATTTTTTGATTTGCTACACATACTTATCCCGAATTAACTGTTGATTTGCCTCCCATTTGCACAGCCTATCATCGTCATAACATTGATCAACAGTGGGCACTCTTCGCAACTGTTCATGATAGTAGTTGTAGTCTTTCTGGTTGGGCTTTACAATGGTTTCTATAAACGAAAACAATACTCAACAACTGTTAACTAATAAGTAAACAATAACTGTGTTACCTCTAACCCATATTGCGGGTCCAAGGAATACGCCTTTTAGGTTCTCTAAAAAGTCTTCGATCGAGTTCCGACCGGTATGTACTTGTTTTTCGTAACCAAAAATCTTCCCCGGCATTGTGTCTGAATCCGAAGACATTGTCGTTGTCGTCGTTCAAATATTATTTTGGTAACCGAAAGAAAACGAGAAAATCGTGTAAAGAGTGAAAATTATATGAACTTCATTGTGCTATCAGCGGATTCTTATTTAGATAATCAGTCGGGACTCGGGAAGAACGACCTTTGGAAATGATTCGCCCGATAATGCGATATCGAAACACATGGTATTTACGCGTACCATTGCTGGTGGCACTGCGTCTGTACTTATCATAAAGTTAACACATTTTGCTAGAAAAAATTGGGCGGATAGACTCAAGAATCAAGATTACAATTATCCACTTTCAACAGTTTCAAGGTAGGCCCGACACCCGAATTCTCGATATTATTTTATTTTCTACCATCAGATTTTAACTTAATTAAAAACTACAAAATCTCGATCCTACATCAAACATCATGAAATTCTGCGGACCTAAACTGTCCTTGTGCGGGATCATTATCAGCATTTGGGGGATAATCCAATTGGTGAGTAAATAGTTTTTTGTTGGTCGGCTATAACCGATATTTACATTATGTTACTCCTATAACGATTTTCTATAACAATTGTCTTTGTCCAGGTATTGATGGGATTCTTCTATTACATCCGGAGTGTAGCGCTCATTGAAGACTTGAACATCTCTGAGGAACACAAGTTCACTGATTCACAAGATTTCTACAGCACCGCTGACAAAATGTATTCTCTGGTGAGGAGTAACAATGTCACTTATATAATAACTCCGCCACCAAAAGATTTGATACTATGCTAAAATTATTTCTATAGTTTGCATGTTGCACGTTGTGAACTACCAGGGCAGTCACTCTTATAATTTCCTACGCCTGACCACACCTGATCTTAAAAGTTGGTGATGCCTACAATAAGTTGTACTATCGACCATAAATTTAAAAAAAATATTTTGATTGGCATACATTATAATGGTTATATAATTACCTAAAAAGTCTTAGGCACATTTTTTAAATGCTTTAAGAAGAGTTTTTGGTGTTGGGTTTTGGATTGCTCCTCATCCTCATGTAGGTTATAAGAATCTCAAACTACCTCCAGTTAAAAGTAATATATTTTTTTTGATAAAACTACTCAGGTAAAATAAATTTATACAATTTTAATTTGAAGTATTTTATTAAATCATTATTATGTTTTTTGGTACCCTCTTTAAAATATATTATAATACATTTTCATACATTTTAACTCTGAATTAGAAAAAAAAGTAATAAACACATTGAACTTTGGAATATTTGTACAGAAATGATTCTTACAAAATAATATCATTTATAGGGTAGATGTGTATGTTAAAAACCATTGTTTAATTATAGGCAGCACTTGGCTCTAATTGTTGTTGGGGAGGGGGGAGGCAAAAATTAATCACAATTTACTGACACATTTTCTCACATCAAACTTATCTAATACATGCCACTTAATTTTTTACTTATACTCGCCTTCTAAATAAGAACATATAATATTTCATAATCCTATACTTTTATAATAATATATAATATATAATATTTATAAAAATAGACACCTATATTTAAATCTAAAAGTATATAAAAAGTATATAATCTTTTATAATACAATTTTTTAAAACAGTTAATTATTTAATTAATAAACTTCGACCCCTTACTGTTGTTTCTGAATCAAATCTATCAATTATGTTTTGAAAATCAATTGGATGTTCCTTATATATGTTCAGCATTGCTAAATTGCTTAAGCATTCTTGATCGTCATTACTCTTAAATAAGTTTTCAAAGGACATGAATATGAATCTGAGAAACTGCATTCACAGGATGCAGTTTTGGTTGATATAGTTAAAAAAATGTTCAGAATATTTGAGTATATCAAAAACCCTGCTTGCATGTCTCTATATAAAATTGTATAGTGTACCAAAATTATTTTTAACACATGGTACCTGTTTAGCTAAGTCTATCAAACACAAATTTAAAATGTGATATTAAATAGCTAAATTATTTTCTGACCTTATCCTATCTTATACACCTTTATAAGTACCTCGCATAGACACAGCTCTGTTGAAGCATTGCCTAATGTTCTAATGTCTTGGATTTTAAGTCCTTTTAATTTAAAAACTTCTCTAATTAATTAAACTAGTGATCTTCCTCCATCTCGATTTGATAAAATCCCAAAAACACTTCTTATAAAATTTAAAATTGATTAAAAATAATATTTATATAAGGGGGGGGGGCAATGATAAGTTTGCCCTCTCAATATTTTTTCTAGGACGATTTCCCCCTGCCTTCCCCTAGATTCTGCAAGGGTATTTAATCATTGTTTGGTCATATCATCGGGGATAGGATGTTTATGACCTTATAGTCTTAAAAAATGAATGTGAATATACTCTCAAGAAGACTCTATCCATATATTTGCTGTCTCTGTCTTAGACATGTATGACATAGCCAATTTTTGTTCCCTAGTTTCGATAGTGTTTTGTTAGTTTTGATATTAGATTGAATTGAACTATTATCAAACTTTTAGGTGAGAACATAACCTGTGCGTTGATTTTTATTTGATATTTTAATTTTCAAGCTACATATAAACATTTTTAATTTGTGATATTTCACATCCCCATTTATTTATTGCTTAAAAATTGAATTATTAAAAAAATCTTCAAAACTTACTGCACATTATTGAAACCAGTGAACAAATATTTGCTATCGTACGTATGTAAGACGGTAACAACTTACACGTGTAGCAAATTTCTATTGATTATAATGAAATACTTATCTATACTAAATCTAATCTAAAAGAAAGATTTAAATATTTAAATATATTTTTTTTCTGGGATTCTTCAGTTACAATGCATGAGAGTAGGTAAACTTAACTTGAATAGAGTATAACATTATTGTTATAATATATTTAAATTTATAATGACCTTAGTTACCATACTTTAACAAACCATTGAATTGTCTAAGTTTTTATAATTGTTTTGTGATCAACTACAATGTAAGCAGTTGATAACCTTTTAAATTTTTTTCCAGAACGCATATAACTGTTGGATTGCTGCATGTCTCTACATATTTACACTTGTTGTATCAGGACATCAATTCTATATGAACAACCGCAACACAATGAGTTTGTAAAATGTTATTTATTTATGTTACAATTTTTATTATTTTTAAGAGGTTTTAATTTTTTTTTCTTCATTTTTTTTCTATTGCCTCCACGATCACATTTGAGTTATTACACATTGTTAACAGATTGTAAGATTATTGGGTTTTCGCATCGTCATATTGTCAAAAAATGTCATAGGTTATAAGTAAATATGAAATATATATAAAATAATTAAATATACATTTGGTATTTTATACTGTTACGTCAAATATTGTAAATTATTTATTATCTGTAGATTTAACTTTTAACAATATTTATAAATAGAAGGTAGTTTACAATTGTGTGTTAATAATGTAATAATAAAATATGACTAGACATTAAAATGATACACTCATCGCTATATTTTTTTCTATTGAACAAATAGTTAAAATGAATTAAATTGCACTTAAATCTGTGGTTTAATTATAAGTGAATAATATATGAGCAATAGTGATTTAAGTATTATTGTGCTAGTACATTTGTAAAGCATACAAATTTCATTTTATGAGTGTTTCAAATTATTTTATTCAAGTTTGCAATAGCTGGGTGAAAATTACTTTAACCTATTAATATTCTATCTATATGGTTATTCGACAGCTCATCAACTAAACTTATTTAGAATTGTTATGTTCCTAATGTGTAAGAGAAGCAACACATGTAAAGAACATTGCATGATAAGTTTTTTAAATTTGTATTTTCAATTATAATACAAAAAAAATATATTGTGTAGTGTAAGTGCTACAATCACAATTTTGTATAAACTTGTAAATAATATTTGGGATATATTTAAGGTATTTTATGAAATTCTACGTTTGATATGTTCAACATTTATTCTTATTTATTAGTTCCAAAAATGGTATTAAAACTATGAACAAATTTATCTTAGCATAAAAAAAAATATATTTAATAGCTGTACAATAATAGATCATTCAAGTATAAAATAACTTTAACATCATATAATATTTTAAAATATGAGAATACATTTTTATAACAACAATGTTTTTATAACTATGACTTGAACAGTATATTATTGGTTTTTCAAAAATATATTATTTAAATTTTTTAAAGTTAAAATAATTATGATAAAAATATCTTTGGGACAATAAATTATCAATTTAAAAAAATAATAAGTTTTACAAAATTACCCTTAAGTTTAACATGAAAATATATTAATAACAATTTGTTTACTAATTAGTTAAAACTAAAAAATAATAATTATATTATTTTATGTACCTAAATGCCCATTAATGCATTTTGGTAAAGATTTAAAATTATAAATTAGAGTGTTCTCTTGTAAATCTTTTCCAAAAATTTGAAAAACATGTCTTGTGACAAACCTCGTGACAACTGTTGAATATGAGTGCATATTAATTTATAACTTTCTTCTTCGTAGAGATGAAATGTGTCTGCTAATTTCAACTGTGCATACAAATCTTTGATGATTGCAACATTGGCTGGATCATCAATACCATAGTTGTCCTAATACAAAACTCAATAAGTCAGCATATTGATTCAAAGCATACAATAACTTAGTAATATTATATTATGTTACCTCCATAATTTTCTTTTGTTCAGAATTGACTTTTTGCAAAGCCACTACAGCTAACCATGAACATTTACCATCTTCTATGTCTGTGCCAATTTTTCCCATGACGTCTGGATCTCCATAACAGTCTAAAAAGTCATCCTAAAAAAAATATTATTAACTTAAATAATTTTAACTGATTTAAATAAACTATTTATACTTGAACTTGAAAGAAGTGTCCCATTTCAAGCAGTATAGTCTTTGCTTGTCGAAAGATTTCTGGGTCATTGATGTTTGTCTGCAATATTATTTTATTAAGTTAAATCCAATGGATGTAATCATAAATACGTTGTGCTTACCATGCGCATTGCAAGACATACTGGAAGAAAAAAAGAATAATAAGCAGTCTTATATTTCACAATAGCTGTATAATTTTCCATGGTATATTTTTCAAGTTTTTTTGACTTGAAGCTATTGGCGGTTAACATATCAAGACACTG